ATTTCCGTTTCGCTTCAACTACCTGCAGGACGTCGTGCGGACCGTCCGCGGAGGAAAGGTCTTCTACTACGCAGTTTTCACGACGGGGGAACACGAAATACCCGCCTCGGCCATCTGCCGTTTCGGCCCCGACGACATAAGGGACAACTTCGAAAGAGGTCCGTTCTTGCGACCAACGGCGCCTTGGGGACGCATCCCGGACGAGGACGTTCCGGACAACAGACCGGGCGATTGTTCGGTCGACTCGACTCTACTCTCGTACGAAGATCTAAATTTTGTGAAATCGCACCCGTCGCTGTACGAACCGGTCGGAAGTGGGGACCCGCTCTTTACGCTCGTTCGACAAAACTACAGGTTGAAGACGTTGACCATGACAGAGACCGGTAACCGTACGGTCGTTTTCGTCGGAACGGACGACGGTCGAGTCTTGAAATTGGTGCTGTCGGAAAATCAGGCCGTCCTTCTGTACGTCATGCGCGCGACAGAGCAACCGATCACGAACGCCGGCTTGCACGGGAACTTTTTGTACGTAACCTCTACCGATCGACTTTACGAAATCCCTCTTCTACGGCATTGCCGACTCCTGAACGATCGCACACGCAATCAAGATCCGCATTGCAGTTTGATGTCGACGCACGCCGGCGTCGAGTTGGAACCAAGACCGTCGGAGCACGTGCAGACAGTGGAAAAGACGAACGCGGACGTAGAGTTGGAACCAAGACTGTCGGAGCATCTAGATGTGTATAAGAGACAGGGAGCACGTGCCGAACCCCGAAGTCGAGTTTGACCGAAGGCGTTCGGAGCACTTGCCGAACGTGCAGGCGAAGAACGCCTATCTGGACTCGCCGTCGACGGATCACATCAGTCTCGTCGCACTCGCGGCAATAGGGTGGACACTTTGTATAGTTGAAGCTATAGGCATTGTTTGATTGATATTTAAAGTTACTTTGTTGGTACGGTAAAAAAAAAAATGAAATCGTGCGTTTTTTTACATATCTGTGTATTTTTATTATCCGTTTCTGTCAGAGTTAGGAACATGCGAACAGGGGCAAATGCATTGTTGATTTTTAAATTGAAATAAACGAAGATTGACACATAATTTTTGTTTTTCTTTTATTTCGTCTAATCAACACTCAACCAGCATAATCAATAATGAAAGTCCATGTGAACCGAATAACGTACATCGTACTTAATGTCGAAACGACGACGCAGGGAAGTATACTATAATATGAGCATTTGTTCATCAGCAGTACGACGGTCGGACTATCCACCTGCTGGACGTACGTTCTAAGTAACCTGGGCAATGCCTCGTGACGCACGTCGTTTGAGACGATCGTTCGCTTGCACAGCAACTTCAGGGGAGGCATATCGTCGTACCATTCGTAGGAATATGTGAAATAACACTCCGAACCTTCGGTTGCAACCGCAATGCTTTTGTTTCCCTCACTTCAGTCGTTGTAATATTCGAAGGTACGATTCTTCAGTCGACCAAACGTTGGATTTCCGATTATTATTCCTTCGTCCTTTATTATTCCTTCGCCCTCGATGACACCGTAAAATCGAACGTCTTGGCTGTTTCCTATCGTGAATCGATGAAATCCCTTCGCCAGAAAACCACGCATCACGAAGTAACCTTCGGAAATCTCGTCCCACTCGTGCATTCTATGGGCTACTTTTTTTTAAAATTTTTCTTTTCATCGACGTCTGCACCGGATGCATTCGACTGACAATATATCTTATTCGTTGAAAATCGTCTCGTTACTGCGATCTCCTTGCAAAAATTCAGGTTTTTAGAGTTATATTATTCAACATTCGTTCAAATATTTACGGGCGCCGACGCAAAAGTTGCGAGCCCGTGCGCACAGGGGATCGCCGCAGCGAAGAACGAACAACTTCGTTCGCCCACCTCCCAGATCCTTGCTGTGGAAGACCAACTCGTCCCTTCTCGTCGCTCGTTCCTCTTCGATGGACGTCGTCACGATAGTGGAACAGCAATCCGGTTTTCCTTCCTCCGACGCTGCAACCGCCAGCCTGGTCGGCACTCCTTCGACGGCGAGTCGAACCTTCCGCAATCGATCGGAGGCGCCACGACCGCAGGCGGAGGCGAGGACGCCGAGGACGCTTTCGTTATCCGGTTTCGACGGGCACCTCTTTCGTAGGGCATCCAGCAGACCTGTTGCGTCGACGAAGTCGTTGCGACACGCCGCGAACAAAGGGTGCTGCGAAGCTCCCTCGTGTCTAACGTAGTACGGCGCCGGCCGGAAAAGACCGAGCGCGGCACACGCTCTCCTGAACTTGGGAGCGTTCGTTTCCTTCTTTGACGGTCGGCGAACGCTCGATAACGAAATCGTCTTCGTCGTCTTCAGACCGTCCGCGAGTTCGACGAACGCACCGGCGCAGGCCTCCAAAGCCGACGCAGGATCGTCGTGCGTCAGCGCGATCTCCACCAACTTCCGGTCCAGCTTGGAAACTAGAGGTTCCGCGTCGTCCCTCACGTTCAGCATGCCGACCGTGCCGACTGTACTGTCCTCTCGCAGGTACGCGTATCTCTTCTTTGCCGTCGTCAGCAGCAGCCGTCTGTACGTCTCCCTCCGGACGAACTTCTGCCATCCGTTTCCGCCGACGGTTTTTTCGAATTCCATCTGCAAGTCGGGTCTGCCGTTCGCCCCGAACTTCACGAACAGCGAGTCAGTGTCTCCGTAAACCACCCGAGCCCCCTTGCGTTCGGCGCAATTCTTCAACTTGGCCAGCTGTCTCCTGCAGATCGACGTCACGTAGTTGTAGAGTCGACCTCTTCCGGAGATGGCCAGGCATCCGATGCACGCGTTCGCCACCCGTTTGTACGCGGCCGACCGTTCCGGTCGTTCGTCCCGTCCTCGTACCAGCCTCTTGAGTACGGACGGCAGAAGACCTTCGAGCACGCTCGCGTCGACGAAGGACCCGTCTTCGAGAGCGGTTGCCTCGTCCACGTTCCGGTCGACGACAAACCTGGGATAGTAGGACTTGAAGTCGTACACGTCCACGTGATCGTGAATGCCGGGCACTGGTTCGAGAACGAGACCTCCGCCTCCGGCCGGTTCTTCCGCCGTCTCTCTTCGACGGGGAAACACGAAACCCAGTCTCGCAGCCTCCCTGCAGAGCATGGACGACAGCATCTGCTTCCTGGTTCCTCCGGGAAAGGTGCCCGTCAACCTGGACGCGTCCAAGACAGTTTCCACAAGACGCCTGCTGCGCACCTTGCGTTCGTAATCCTGGAGAACAGACAGCTCCTCATCCAGCACGTCGTCGGACGTTCGTGCAGAAAGTTCGTTGCAAGATCTTCTGCTCGCGTACTCGTACATGGAATCGCGATCGCGGCACCCGTCGGCGTCCTCAGAGGTGTCGACGCATATCGGCCATCGAGATATTGGCAGGTCGCACGCCAAGCATCTGTTCGTCAAGACCGTCTTCACCCACTCTCCGTGATACACGAGAACGTCGGCCGATTTCAAGAGGTTCGTCAGACGTCGTAGCACATCCCTCTCCTCGGACTCCTTCGACATCCTTCCGTCGGAGAGAACTACGGCGCACAGTGGGCCAGAATCAATTCAAAGTGTGCCAAAAGTCAAAAATAGGTAATGTGACAACTTCAACTTTTAAAGGTTGTTTGAGGTCGAGAAGATCCTAAATTATATTAATCCACCAATAATTTCATATTTAGTGAATTTTCATAGCGTGATATAACAATGTAAACATGAAAAAGTTGTATTTTACTCGTAAAATGATAAAATTGACAGTTTTGAAAAACTCCCTATGACTTTACTTAGATGAAAGCAGTCAACTTGATACTTCTTGTAGTATTTGCCTATTGTTAACTAAATTAGATAGTAAAATAAAAAATGACATTATTGGTATATTTTTAGAATAAAGGACATTAAATATGAGCCAAAAACGCGTAAAAACATTTTTTCATAAAACCAACTTAAAAGTTAGAATTGCCGGCGATTTTCGTCATGCTTTTGACATCAACATTTGTGGCAGAGCCTAAGCTTTACGTTAATGCCAAGTTTAGCTGCCAATATCTGCCACCCTGCATTTAGCAAGCGATTTAATATTACCCCCCTACAAAAGCGCCATTTTTAAATTAAAGTATACGATAAAATCATTCCTGCAGCCATTGGGTGCCAAATGTAAAAACAAGTACACTCGATTTCACTCGATTTCCAGTGTCATATCTAGGAGTGAATTGGGGAGGGAGATCATTGGTGGATCTGGAGGAGTCAGGGTCCTGACCACAACCTCTTGGACAAAAACATTAAATAAATAAATATTTAAAAAATAATTCTAGACTTTTCCAGGACCCGTAAGCTGATTATTGAATTTTGTGTTACAATTGGACAATTAAATGTCGGAAATGCTCAATCAAAATTTTGATAGGGGAGGACCCCGTTTCAAAAAAGAAAAGAAAAAAAAAAGAATGTGTAAGCAATTAATCATATTTATACCTCTACACACTGTATTAAAAATCAGAAAAATTTAGCTGACAGTTTTCAATAGGGTAAACCTTGATTTTGTTTTCATTAAAGGTCATTAAAAGATACTTCAGAAGTCTGAAAAGCTCACTTCCCGCATCAAAATTTTCCAGGGGCTAACATGATTCCGCCTCTCCCCCGGTTCCTTCTTAGGGTTCATTGATTCATTAAAAAACGTCAAGAGAGGGAAACCAAAATTTCAGAAGTTGAGAAAACCCGTTTCCCGACATATAGGAATCAACATTTTCCCACCACCGTCCCATTTGGGGTTCATCGGTTCATGGAAAACAAAATAGGCCTACGTATGCAACTATTTTTTTTTATACACACATAGGCCTGTTTACTGTAATAAGAATGACAAAGTTGACATGACTGTTTTCAAGGGAGGGAAAATCTTGAACTTTAAACAACTAAATTGTCATTAAAATACACCTCAAAAGTCGGGAAATCTCATTTCTCGCCATTTAGGAAACAACATTTTTTCTGGGAGGACCTCTACCCCCTTTCATTTTGAGGTCAATTATTCTAAGAATCTTTTTTTCCGACACTTTCTCTTGTTTTTATTTTTTTATTTATTTTTTTTAAACATTTTGACTCAATCCTAAATCTGAAGCCAAATTGCCTCTGGAGATTATAAGGGCATCCTAAGGTGAGTGATGGGATGGGGGTAAATGCCCGATGAAGTGGGACCGCTCATTTAATTTCTTTATTTCATTTATTTATTTAGCATCCATTCAAATACAACAATTATTGCTCAGGCAAATTATAGCGATATTATGTAATCTCAGTCTGTTTGACTGTGATCTTTTGTGCTTCTTTTCACTGGTGAGGGTTGACTGATGTGGTGGACGTGGACTAAGGGGGTACTGCAGGTGTCTTAACACTCCACCTTCCACCCTTTTCTTTGAAGAAATGTATTTTAATAATGTCACATAAAGTGTAAAATGTTCTAATTTGAATTTGCCGGTCTAGAAACTCTCATTCGTGTCATACTGAGCTCTGGCAAGTTATTCTGTCTAGATCTTAAATTTTACGTCGTCCAATAAAAAAAAATACTTTAATGACGTCATACATATTTAAATATGCTTGCGTTGAAATCTGCAGGTTAGAAAACCCCTCATATGTTCTAATAACCAAGGTAATATGAATCTGCCTAGGTATTACAATGAATATTTTACTCATCCAATCAAAAAACAGTAATTTGATGACGTCACACATATTTAAAAATAGTTTAATCGAATTCAGCAGGTTTGAAAACCCCTAAAACAGTCTTAACATGAACATAATCAGTATTTTCTTATGAGTATTGACTTTTGGCACACTTTGAAACAATTCTGGCCCACTGTGCGGCGGTCACGCGTCCGGTCACGTCGAGTCGAACGGAGAGGTAGAGCACGGACGGCTGCACGGGATCGGTTTCCTCGAGTTCCAAGTGGTTCGTTCGTCGTACTCGAAATTCTCGACGTATCCCTTCTCGTTCGTGGTGCAGCGGTGCCAAGAGCACCCGTGCACGCCGACGGCGCACTGGGCGTCAAGGTCGTCGACGGCAGACGGCAGGTTGCCGAACGTGTTCTCAACGGGGATGCCGTTCCTGTCCCGTGACCTGAGCGTGCGGTACGTTCGACCCACGGACTCGTATCTGTCGCCTCTTCGTAAAGTCACGTCGCCGTCTTCGTCTTCGGCGTAACACTGGAATTTTACCTTCGTACTCTCCAGGTCAACCGGCCGTCCGTCTAGATTTCTTCCGCGAACGGACAACCTTCCTGTTATCTTTGAATATTTGGCGCTCGTCAGATAGACGAACATGGCTAATTTTTTCATAGAGA